CTCTCTCTCTCTCTCTCTCTCTCTCTCTCTCTCACACACACACACACACACACACATGCACACATTAGGTGACGACGGGACACGCAGTGAGGAGGAAGTGGAGCAGTATCCCTAGGGGAGGAATGAGTGTGCTGGAATAGATAGCTTAGTGAAAGGGTTGGGTTATGGATCATGAAGAGGGGGGAGGTTGAGGGGGGGGAAGGGTTGGGGTTGAAACGGTTGTGTGCATTGACCTTCAAATTTTCCATCCGGGAAGTAAACATTAAATGTGTAGGGTATAAGGCCTTTCACAAAGCTCCCTGTGAGCTGCACATCATCAGACGGACGGACGGAAAGAACGAAAAGGTCAGATGATGGATGACAAACAAGAATCTCCCCACATCAGAGGGAAAAGGGAAAAAAAAAAAAAAAAAAAAAAAGGAAAGGAAGAACCAAAAGTAAACAAGAGTCACAAGACAGATCATAACAAAACAAAACAAAACAAAACAAAAACTAGCCACAATCATGTCAAACAATGAACATGGTAATTTTTTATTATTATTATTATTATTTTTTAGAACATGGTAAATTGGTAATGTACAGGTAACTAGGAATAATTCAAACAAGTTGAAATAACAAATAGACGTTTCGGTATATTATGTGCTCACTGTAGAAATCACAACAAGAGTAAACGAAGTCTAGAAGCCGGGAAGGTTTAAACCGCCACTTCCCCCGACAGCCGAACACCCTCGGCGCTGTGAGTTAGGGCCGGGTTCTACGGAGGGGCGGCGACCGTTCGTCACCGGCGGGTCCAATCCCGCCATTTGAAAGCCGCCACTTTGGCGATTTTTCGTGCTCTGAAGAATTCTTCAAAGATTCTGAGACTCCGAGGCATGAGGCCCCGATGAGCCCCTTCCGGCCCTGCAAGCAGCACAGTCGGCCGCCCTAAGTGAGGGCAGGCCCGACCAAGGTCACAAGGCCTATTTTCAGGCCACCACGCAACTGGGGAAAATTCAGGCAGCTGCGCAGCGCCAGTTGGTTGAGAGCGCCCAGGCCCTGGCTGCCTTTTTCGTATGCAACTAAGCCAGGCCCTGGGCCAGATACACAACATGGGCCGAACCCAGACTGCGGGCAGTTGGGCACAAGCAACCGTCACAGGCCCTGGGCCTGATTCGTTAGG